ATGAGCGTGTGCTTAAAATAGATGGCAGGAGATTCTATATTGGGCAGCAGGCGAGCTTTCCACCATAGTACGGCGATGGCAGGCGCAACTTCTGTAACTTCGCTGAGTACTATCGTCTTCCCTCCCTCATCGTCAGTCATCGTGACGATGTTGCCGTCGTATGCGGTGACTTCACCATAAAACGTTTTCAATAAGAAATTAACTATGTGGACACAAACATATATATATAGCGGGTATTTTGCTTCTTCTCTGCTCGATATGTTCAAACTTAAGGATTCGATCACAGGAAGCCGATCCGGTCCGTCGGGAGATACCGCATCGTTGAATTCATTAATCGCAGAAATATCATATAGCGAACTGACTCTCAGAACACTTTAATGGTCAGCAATCACACTACAAACCATAGCTAGCCTCAAATTTATAACCGCAACACATCAGCACGCATTTTTAAATTCAACGATGCGGGTGGGGAATTCGCGCAGACATTATTGGTAGAAAACAATAATTTGTTTTATTTATCAAACAATCTGAATCTCTGTCTGGTGGCCAAGTCTTCGTATTGTACTTCCATGCACGTTCACTCGAGCAGATACTGCGGCTGCGAACCAGGCACAGATAAATGAAACCCCAGCCCTCAAAACTTAAATAAAATAATGCTAAATTAAAAAAAACAGAGCTGGAATCGCTAGTATCCTGGAATGATATATTATAAGCACATTACCCGGATAATACAAACCACTATTCTGGATATTTCTTTATTGAAACCGCAACGACGCAACTTGTGGATGTTTGAGTATAGCATTCACTCAAAAAACAAAAATCGTGCTAAGCTACAAAAAATCTCATAAGCAATTGTAATGGGACCACGTTGTTGATAAACCAGTTCACCATTACTTCTCTGGTCCACGATAATAGCTTCACTTTTCGAGGTGCCAGTTGCCAGCTCTTTCGCACGTTCTCATCCGTCTTCGTGTCCATATTGTGACCAAAGGGGGACTTCTCGCATTTTGAGATCAGTCTTTCAGCTTGTTCCGGAACGAGCGGAAGCGATATCGCCCCACGTCATCGCTAAACAAACCGGGCGCGGAGGGCAAGCTGTCTGTAATACCTCCAAAGGAGTACTCACCAGCCTTTCATCTGCTGACGCTAGGATTTCGCTAATCTTGACGCAAGAAGCACCAACTGGAACAGGCACCTCGTCGAAATCGCCATCACCACCAAACGGCCATTGGCCTTCTTCGAAGTCTTCCTCAATTGAAACCATTTAGGTGAAGCCAGCAAATTGGAAAGTGGCAGAATGAAACATGATTCTTGGTAAAAAAAAAAAAAAATAAAAAAATAAACATTTTTTTCTCGATTGGTGGTTTCTGAACTAAAATCCCAGTACCTTTAATGTAAAAAAAAGTCAATCTGTCCCAAAAGTCTGAGAAATCTCCTTGTTGTTTCTTTTATCTAACCACCAAGATTGACAGGGAGCACCTATGCATTCAACTCTTTTCTTGTGATGTTCCACCCGTAAAGTATTAGTTTCCTTAAACTGGTGTAGTGGATCTTTTTTTACTGTCTGGAAAAGAAAAAAGAATATGGTAAAATTTGTTTTACTGCAGGAGGTCGGCAGCAGTTGAACCACATCCCACAGAACACTGTCATTTATTGGAATTGCCACTGCGGTTTACCTGGATGGACAAACCCAGTTCCAGCGATGCCGCCGCCGTGCTAGCGACAGTAAAAGAGAGCATTGCAGCTCGTCCCGCCGCAAAGAGAGGCGAACTACACCCCGTTGAGCTTCAGTGGACATCTCTAGGTCGCATCCTACGCGATCAAAAGAAAATGATCGGTGAGGATGAAGAAAATGAAGAAGAGTAACCTAACCTGTGTATTGTACACTGTATGTCGCTTTAAAACCTATAAGAGTCTGTGCGGCAGAGCCTCTGTACAGATAGTGGGACGTAGCTACGGACCATCCATTCCGTAGCCGCGTCCCAAGTAATAGCCAATCATAGCTGACTAAGGTAAGGGAAGCCAGGAAGTTAGTGACGTCCATTACCTTAGTCAGCTCATTCGGCAAATTCCTCAGTAGGGCACAAGCGGCGCGGCCTGCCTCAGAACTGACCACCGGCACCGCATCGCCCGCGCGCCATCACAGGACGACTACTAAGACATGCAGTGACATGCAACGCACACTTATCGTCTATTACGAGATGGATTTGGATCTCGCGCGCCATCCCGGACGACTACTACGACATGCATTAGGATGTATTGGCATGTATTTGGGTTTCTGTGCAGCACACGACCGTCATCGTCAACTCGGAAGCGGCATTTCGGGCTTGTGCGGGGCATGTTGAAGGGTCAAGACCGTGTACTGCTCTTGCGGGTGGCCTGGGGTGCTGCTGACGTGTGGATGACATATCGAAAAAACAGAATCAATACATTAGAAGAAT